ATTGTACATATCTTACTTTTTATTGTCTACATTCAGTTTTAATAATTTTTTAATAATTTTTAATTTTTTTTATTATTTTATTAACATTTTTTACATGGTCCCATAAGCTATATTAGCTTTGAAACCCACCGTGTTTAAATAAAAGATGTTGTTGTTGTTGTTGTTGTTGTTGTTGTTGTTGTTGTTGTATAGTCTTGTCTGACATACGGTACTACAAAAAATTGCAAGTTTGGGTCTGAAACCCAGGGGGGGGGGGTACTCCCATATATATAACCTATATGGGTATGTGCTACTGTGAAGGGTATGGTTTTCAGGCAGTTTATTCTGGGACAGGGTATAGAAATCAGACAGTTTTGGTGTAGAATGGGGTATTATGTACCGAAAAGGTGACAAGTGCATAAATAATTTTGTCTAGACCAGGGTTCTTTACCCAGAGTCCTATAATAGAAACTGAAACTCAGAAGTGACTTTGTAAGAATTGGTTTAGTTAACAGATGTTGGACTATGATGGTGGTAGAGTTCCTGAATGGAAGATAGCTATATGTAGTCTTGGATAGGGTAGGGTTTTTAGTGTCTAGGCTAGAATAGGGTTGCAAAATCAAGCTGATCATGGTCTAGTATAGGGTAAGGGCTTCAGTGTCCTAGTGAAACACCCCTACCCAAAGATTTTGACCTCTCCCAAACCCGGGTCTGAAATAGTGAAAGGGCTCAAAAAGCATGCATCCCTGCACAGATATTCACTGAGTTCCACCCTGGGTTCCTTCTGTATACTGCAATCACCTGCTCTTGTGTTATAGCTCCTTGAGAAATGAAATGCTAGTTCAAACAAAATGAAATATATTGTTATCCTTACCCAGGGGTCTTCTTAGCTTTGGTTCAACTACAAATGGTGTGGCAGTCACCAAGTAAGGTCCATAAAATCCCACTTCTTTAGAGAGCTCAACCAGTTCCTTCCAGTGTAAGGCTCCTGAAACACACTCACCTACATATACAAGCACAGATATATGGAAAAGCAATAAGGTTTCAATTGTGAAGTAGCTCACATTTAAAAAAGAAAATGAAACTAATGCTTTAGTAAAACTCATGGCCACTGTTATTTACCAGTATTTCAAAGGAAACAAACCAGAGGAAACTTAAAAAAAATAAAAAAAATAAAAAATAATAAAAAAAATAATAATAATAATAGTAATAATAATAATAATAATAATAATAATAATAATAATAATAATAACAATAATAATAAAAGCACTTGCTTACAAGTCTCTTACCCTTCTACCAACCCATGTCTGTGGTTTATTATTGCAGTGAATGCACAGAATCATCTCATACACAGTGCTTGGCATGGACAAGTATTGGTGCATTTGCCATAGTCTATGTTTGTTCTCAGTCACTCTTTGATTGCAACTGTATGTGGTTTGTTTTGTAGTTACTTTTTTTCACTTCATCCCTAGTCAATGATAGTAATTTTTGACTACGATAAAAAAAGTTAACTGACTAGCAGAAAACACACTACACATAGCTGCAACTTAGATCAAAAATTAACTACAACATATTCATCAACAAGAAATAGTACTTAGCCAGATCTAAAAAGAATAAATAGATTAGAGAGATAATGGTGTGACCAGTAAAGACAATTACAAAGTGCATTATTTTACCCCAGAGCACTTCATCATTTCTGGCTTCCTCAGTTAGGTTTGTGTCTGAGTAAACGTCACTGAAGTATACCTCGCCTCCATCCTAAATCAAATGCAAGAAATTTACAAAGTAAGATACATGTACTTACAATGTACATGTAGGTCACAACATCGATTTAGAGTTACATGCTCCTCAGTGCTATGTTTCAGTCTGTATGTAAGTCTATTGAGCTATTAGGCAGCATTTATCACCAGTTTCAGTAACGTGACCTCACTAAAAGAATTTCTACTCCCCCCTGGATGGGATACTGTTCATCCCAGGGTAACCTGCCCAGCAATAAATTCACCAAGTACCCATTTTCACTCTTCCAGCTGGAGGCACACTGTGAGAGTAAACTGCCATGACCAATAACAGTGCAAAATGAACCCAACTAGGGTTCCAATCTGACAGCTTCATCTGGAGTCCTATACATTAAATATTAGATTACCACACCACACACATCATGACCCATCATCATAAAGGTTGTTTCTCACCTTGAGAACTCGATAGGCTTCTTTAAGGACAACTTTTTTGTCAGCAGTCAAGTTAACAACACAGTTTGAACTTAATTAAGCATACAAACATAGGAAAGAAAAATTTCTGTTAGCTGTATAAAGAATGTACATATGGAATATGAGAGGTGGAAAAATACAAAGGATTATTTGAGTATGAAGCTAACCTTGTAATTTAAGAAGTCATGCATAAAGTAATGTTCAGCACTCTTTACTTGTAATGTTTGATATGGAAAATTTCTTCAATTCAAAGTTGATCTTAATATTATTGGAAAGAGAATGTGTTTCCATTTCCTGATGCAAACATAATGAAAGGTTTGTGAGAAATAAACAATGTTTGAATAAACAAGAGCTCGAAACTGAAATGCAATTGGTCAAGTGATGTCACTATTGAATTTTTGTTGTTATGTTATAGTCATGTAACCAGCATGATTTTTATTTGCATTAAAATTTTGCATAATTATCCATTAAATATATAGCTTTTTGGTTTTATTTCTCTTTTTTTTGTGTGACTAGGTCTGCTATTACCCAGTACATTAGGAAGATTATTAAAAGGACTTTATAGACATACAGTATCAAGCTATTGCAGACACTAGGAAGACTTACAAAGACAAAACTTTTTGTTTCTTTCAGAGTGAATCAGATTGTGGACAATCAAGTGATGATACACATGTACATCTATCAAAATAATTATAACTCATTTATCTCTGGTGAACAAAGTTTACTACATAATTTTAGTAGCCACTCTGCTGTGCTCTATTGGCAATCTGCGAATCTGATTGATTCTCTTATTATTTTCTATTCGCTGATAGCCAACGATCTTGTGTGTGCTGCTATTAAAATTGAAAATTATTCTTAAGTTTAGGATTAAAAATACACAAAATTGTAGGTTTTGTGCAGCTGCAATCCTTTAGAGTGTCCTTTAAAGAATTAGAATACTTGCCTTCATTTTCTATGAGTGATAATCAACTTGGTTACACCTCATTGACTATTAGCTCAAAGAAAACTCATGCTCATCATCTAATTGTTAAATATTATAATTAAACACTGTATATTACACCAGTCTACCACTTACATTATTATGTCCACAGAATTGTCCTGTATGCCTACATCAGACAGTCGTTCCATTTCACCAAGTTTAAACTCAGTATTGGGCTTGAAATATCCAAATTGCTTGGCATGATAATCGACATACTTGTTAGCAATATCCACCTATGGTAAAGGCAAAGACAAAAGAAAATTAGGGTTATTACAGCAATGCAAGATTGCAGTATATTACAACATGACTTTGTTGTATGAGTAACAAAGCAGGTCTAAAGATGTCAAGGTATTTGTATGTCCAGGCAAGGAGCTTCCTGTCCTAAGCAAGGAAGCACAATGTAGAGCTTTCCTTTCAGAGGTTCACATCCGAGTTTAAATCCTTGAGAAGGGCTTGCTTGTATATGTACAAAGTTTCAACAGATGTTTTGACATGAATGTAAGTTTCATGACTTGCACTTCACAGCAGAACTCAAGTCCAGGGGTTTCATTAAGGCCAGACTGAGACACAGGGCAAATTACCAAGCTGTGAGGATAATTTTGCCCATCTGGTTTGACTATCTGAGGAAATTTTTCTTACAAAGAAGTTCGGTTCAAAAAGTTTTGCCTGCCTGTGAAAACTGGTTGTCCTCCTGCTAAAAATGTTAATGAAACCCCTGCAAGTCAAGTCAATAAGGAATCATGTTATAGATCATACATGTAAATCAAAATACACCTGGGCTATAAGAGAGGGCTGATACAAAATGTAAATCAAAGAGGAAACATATCTTAACTTTCTGATTTCTCCAGGGTTAAAGAATTGCTGATGTCTTAAACAATGACAACAAACACCCTTTATATCGACAAAGTTAAGGACAAAAAGAAGTCCTCACAAACCGATGTTACTTGCTTAAAATTGCAATTCAAATCACAAGGGGGGTGTTACATGGAGAATCACTTGCAACTTTTTTTGAGGAAAACTTTAATTTATTGTTCAGCCAAAAGGTGAGCAAAAAGATGAACAAAGTCAGGTTATATGGGCTTGTTTTGTTAACAGGGCAATTTAATGACAAACCCAGCTTAACGTACCTGTTCTTTAGTCATATCCACTCCAGTCACATGACCATTTTCACCCACAAGTTTACTAAGAACAAAACAGTCCTGTCCTGATCCACTCCCAAGGTCCAGGATGTGCATACCCTCAAGGGCTTCTGGGGCCACTAAACCACACCCATAAAACCTGAAATAATTTTATATTATCAAGAATCCAATCAGCCTAAATACGGTTAAACTGATTACCTAGTGAGGCAGTACAAAGCACAACATTTACATTACATTTATCAAAATTCTCAACACACATTAATACAGATGCATCAGTTTGCTTGTTTAGAAGTTATCAGAAAATGATAAAATGACCAAAATAATAATAATTGTTATAATAACAATGTATTGTAATATATAATAATAATGTGTTGGGGTTCTTGTATGATCACAAGACAAGCTAATCAGGAACACAAAACACCAAGAATGGATTGGAATTTGGAGTCTTGGTTTTTGAAAAGGCAGGAAAACCAGAGAACCTACAGAATAAACTTCAAAGCATAGATGAGGACCAACAAGAAACTCAACCCACATGGCACACCAGTTCCAGGATATGAAACCAGGCACGCACTGTTACCAAAGCATAACCCCTGCTTCCCAGAGAAGTTTTCATACATAAATTCAAGGCTCATTATCTCCAGGAGGCAAACTGCCGATGAAGAGTATGACAGAAAAGCCAGAGATCTTGTTGAATATATTATCAAGCACAAGGGGTAAGTAATAATCAAGTAATCTAAGTGTCCACCAATAACAGTCAGCCTATTCCAAATTTTATGACATCAACATGACCATAAAGAGCAAAACTGACAGTGAACTTTCTTACTTGCACTACCTTTGACTAGTAATTAATATTGTTAGAGCATGTTTTTCAGGGAAATCTATCTGACTTGTAATCCCAACTTCTTTTTTTGGCAAAAAAATCAAAACAGGAATACTGCTAGTACAAACCCTACTTTCTTCATGTTTGAAATTTGTGTCTTGCCAGATTCGATGCACTGTGAAAATTTTAGAACATCTCTCCGAGGGAAATTCAAGAAAATCACAACTAAGCCAAATACACAATCAAAAAACATTAAATGTTTGAACATTAAATTTTGTTTGGGCATTTTTACTGTAATTCAAGATAACACACCATGATTTTAAAAGAGATGATGGTAAAACACTATTTCATCACTGCTTGTTACATTTGATAAGTTTGAGAGAACTAGGTTTAAAAGCAGATGCAAAACCAGGTTTCAAAATAGAAGTGTGCAAAGTGATAATTACAGTAACTACCCTATGAAATCACCTAAAAATATCTACCAATCAGAGTCTAATGATCATATAGATTGTTCATCAAGCGTGGGAATGAGAATCATACCCACTGACTTTTAACAAGAGTTTAATCGCAGCATGAGTCAACTTCAAGCACAATTCATGTTTGAGCCAAAGTTAAGCTCAAGTCAAATAATTATATATTTATAATTTCATTTTTTTCTTTTTTTACATTGTACATGTATATAGTGTCTTTTGATCATAATTATAACAAATATCAAAACAACTGTCAGTTAGGTTTGACGCAGAACACATTTCCACTGATGCAGTCACAAGCTAAGCTTTCATTTTGCATTTTGAAACAATACATGCACAAGCTTAAAACTTTGGGTATTCCTCACTGAACCTTGCCATCTATTAATTTTGTGGAGAAACTTTCTCCATAACACCCATACACAAAAAAGAGGGTCTCCAATAAGTTTTTCGGGATCCAGGAATTGGTTTATTTGAAGGCCAGAATTAGCGATTCTTAAGGAAAAGGAGGATGAGATTCGGTATTGTAATTATGACCAAGACGTCAGATTTGGCGATTTTACTAGGTGGGAATCAGGAAATGTCACTTTAAAGAAATTGAGATTTGGGAATTCTGGAGACGAATTGTACAAAGAAAATCAAGCTGCCAAACAATGACCCAGTCGACTTACACACTTAATTACATCCATGTTATATATTATAAATTATACAATAAACTCTGACGCACACTCCTTGGTACGCCAAAATCACTCAAATGGCTGACAGTCCTTACGGAAGCGCTAGGACGGCATAAAAAGGTCATTACTTAGAGAGGTTTCAAAACTGTACAGTAGCTTTTCAAAGCAAAATAGAAACAGTTTTCGTTCTAATTTTATATCGATACAGACTCTTATTTTGTAGAACTCTATACAACCTCCTATAGTTCACCTTGGTCACCGGTCATTTAAGTAATGTTTTGAACCGAAATATGCAGCACAGGTTAGAGACCATTAGACCAGAGTTGAAAATAGTATAAAATTCAGTAGTCTGTTAAGCAGAAACATACTCGATTTTATGCAATTTCCAGATGATTGTTACAATGGCTGAAAAATTGTGATTGAGAAACAGTCAAGTCTGAGTTGCAACTGACAGTGACTTGCCAAAGTTATGTGTAATGAACTGTGAGTTTACCGTGGCACATTGTGATATACATCTATAACGCTCTTCTTTGATTGCTCTCATCCCCGATGGACAAGTTTTTCAGGCATTGAAGTGATCCAGAAAGCAGGCGTTGCCAGACAAAGGGAGCAAAACAGAAAAATAAAAAAATGAAAAGAAAGGAGCTCTGAAGGCCATAAAACTGACTGATTCACTGACACAACTCATTTAAAACTTCGCATGAAAAACAAATGAACAATATCATTGTTTTAGTGCAGAGAGATACACCTAATTGAACCTAATAGTCAGTGCTTGGGTCTGGTGTGAGGGAATCTGGACCTGGACTTCAAGGATATTTTCTGTTGAGGTAAGGACTTCAGAAAATATGACCAGGATCAGGATTAGCCAGTTTCACTCATTCACATTTCACTCATTCTAGTTGCTGAAGCAACACAAATGACTAGGACTGGTCTGAAGTCCGACCACAGAACCATGTAAACATGAACTGATTTGAGACCAGTCTCGGACCGCTTGAGTTCATTGTTTTGATCATGCGCACGAGTATTGTTGCACCATTTCAAGATGGCGGATAGCAACAGAGTCCAAAGGGGCCCCAAAAGAAAATCAATCTTACCAGTCTGAGTCATGCTGGCCTGAGTTTGTACTGGTCTCATGTAATCGGGGCTTTAGACTGGTTATTTTTCACTGCTTTTCTTTACTGCTAAAAAAGACGACACTGCGTATCGTGTACTGCGTAGCGAGCATAAAACACAGCTACAGTCGAAGCTCGATTATCCGGACTTTTTCTCTAGTCCCAATTTTTCATGAATATTTATTGTCATGATCAAGATCCGTGGCAACATCCTTTTTAAAACTATAACATTGAAAAGTGCAGTCAAAAGCGAGTTTGTTTTGCTTTTACAGAGCAAAAGCAGCGCTCGCACACGTCGTAACTAATTTATTTATTTTATTATTTATTTAACTTTATTTATACACAGGTAAAATATCAGGACTTAAAGTAAATACTAAAATTGCATTAATTACATCGATAATGTACAATGAAGAACACTCGAATGAATTCTGATTGGCTCAGAGTTGAGTGGTTCAAGATGTACAGTAGACCATATTGTTTTCCAAAGGATTTGTAAAAGTGTTGTTTCACGATTAAATGTTGCTTTATTTAAACAGTTTTTGTTCATCATTAATATTCATATTTTCGATTATTCAGACCCTTGATTATCTGGACTATTTCGTCTAGTCCCAATGAGTCCGGATAATTGAGGTTCGACTGTATACCACTTTGAATTTATTTGCCAATTGAATAAATTACAAATACTTGAATTAACTAGTTTCTGCATACCACACAGCCAGCTATGGCAGGGTATTCTGTAGTTAAGCCAAACACACATTGGATATGATTGCTCTGTTGAAACAAGTAAGTGTTTTACACACACACACACAAAGAAAACAATAGACTACGAGTAGTCCCTCTTTCGCTTAGTCCGTCGTGCGTGACACAAAAGAAAACCGTGAGAAAAAAATGGCTGCGCAAAATCCTGGAGGCGAGGAGCACGTGAAAGGAGGGACTACCGCCTAAGCCCAAGAGTTTGAATTATGCGTTGCTCTCACAACGCAAAAATATGATTGGCTTATGTTAGGAGCGTTGACAACATGTTGTCAACATTTGAGATACCTGTGACGTCTTGCAGGAATGTTTTGGAACCAGAGCAAATCGAAGCAGTACCAGAGCAAATCGAAGTGTTGGAATCGTGTTTCGCAAGCCGTGATGTTCTTGCGAATCTGCCAACAGGCGCCTTGGAAAGATTTAAATTTATCCAGTGTTTTGTTTGGCAAAGCTCTCTGCCTCCACCCTGACTGCGAGCGTGTTAGTGATTTCGCCACTCAACAGCATCGTCTAAGTCAGTGAATATAAATTCACTGAGCTTGGCCTTTCTGCTGTCCATTTGAAAGATTGAACCGGACTCTCACTTGATGCCGGACATTCACTTGAAATTTTCCGCTGCTATCGGCAAACATTTCACCGCAGTTGGATGATCTTCTATGTATAATGAATGTATAACGTAAATTCTCGGTTGAAACTGTGTTGAAATTTTCACAATAACTTTTAGACGCAGCGAAAATCGTTACAAGAGGCCTCATTCGCCGTCTTCATTTTAAAACTTCTTTGACAGTTTCGCTGAACGAACACTGAACGAAGATATACTTCTCACGGCATATGTTTTTGCCTGGCTACTTGAAGAGTAGAGTAGAGCAATTTTATTCAGATCTCCTGGGGCTATTGATAACAGGCGATAATAAGAGGACGTCAAGATGAGAAATCCTACACCGAAAAATCACTTGGCCGTGAAAGGGCAAACTCTTGGGCTTAGGCGGTAGTCCCTCCTTTCGTGCACTCCTAGCCACCAGGATTTTGCGCGGCCATTTTTTTCTCGCGAATTTCTTTCGCGTCACGCACAACAGACTAAGCGAAAGAGGGACTACTCGTAGTCTAAGAAAACAATGCCTCCAGCCAATTTGGCCGCGGAGAGAATGGGTTGGCATCATGTGAATACAACAGGATAGCGCTCAATTACTGTGCCGCGAAAGATGTCCAAACCCTCTGTCCAATAATTCTAGTATTTCATTATATACGTTAATTTTCACGCTGTATCGTTGAAATGGAAGCTACGCTTCAGTTTTTTGAAATTAACGGAGGTCGGAATCTGTTAAGAGAATTAATGACTGCTGAAGAATGTTTACTTCTTTGTCAAAGAAAATGTTCTTTGACACGTGAACTTTCATAGCGTGTAAGCTTAGAAAAAGGTTACATAACGACGCTAAATTCTGCTCACTGCAGAACCTATACGTAAACGGCAAACTGATTTAATCACTTCGGGTCGCTAAATATAACCTAACGTACTACATGGCTAAAGACTGAAGTTCTCTTACTTGCTGGATACCTCATCGTGTATAAGCTTCAAAGCGCTCTTGACGGCGGGAGTCATTGCAGTGTCTCCAACCTTGCAGGCGTTTGTCTGGAGGTCATCAGAAGTCTTAAGCCTTTTACCATAGTAGTCCTTTACACTTTCTTTTACTTTATCAGCGTCGTCGGAAATCATTTTCGCGGGAGTACTTTTAAGAAAGTTTTACCTTGGCCGGAGCGTTGTCTACAGCAGCCTCGACTCTAAAGCCAGAACACTTTTGTTTCCAGTCCCTTGGACGGGCACATTCTACTTCATTAATTCACGATTTTCACCAGTAATGTGATCAAAACTAAAAATCGTAACCATTCAAAAAATAAATTCAGGAATCTGGGATATGATAGATGATTGCTATATAAAAAACCTCGCCAAGAATCAGGTTTCTGCTGTTTTTCATTCGCCGGTTATTTGCAGAAGTGTGTCACCCAGTATTATAGAGCTTTGTATGGAGACGCCATGTTTGTGCCCTTCGGAGGAGCACAAACATGGTGGCCGTAAAATAACAAAAACATCTGTCGTTGAGTTTTGCTATTGAAACAAAAATTTTTACTCTAGAGCTCCGAAACATTGAAATAAATGCTTCTTCTAGTGCAAACACCGTTTATTTAGCAAAAACTAAAGCGATAACTCATCTTTTGACCTAAGCGACAGTCTTTTCGGGCCGCCATTTTCATGTCACGCGACGCAAAAGCTTGGAGCGCTCTTTACAAAAAGAAGAACTCTGTCGAGCTAAAACATTTTCAAACGTTACGTTCCTGCAGGGTCTTTTATCTGATGAAACTAAAACCTCTGAAGGAAAGATAATTTCTAATTTTGGAATATGACTACGTCACATGAACCAAGAATGTAGTCGATTTTTTTTCTCCCTTTTCCATCTTTCTTCCTCTCTTTTCTTTATTTTATTTCTTAAGTGCGTGGAAAATTTGGGAACCAGGGTAAAATAAATTCTAGAACCAGGATCGGCTTCTGATAAACGATAACTTTAAATTTTGCTCTAGTAAGTGGGATAAGCCGAACAAATTATTCCCAGTCTGTCTGACAACACGCACGCTTAAAATTTCAAATTATCTATGTGACCAATGAAAACCCATCCATTTTCTGTGATTTCTGTGGTCTGAAGATCTCGCTTGTGATTGCCATGACACAATAAACACTGCAGGCATTTTTAGGTGTTCGCGGTTTTATAACTTTGATTGTAAACGCGACAGATCGAGCTAATAAAGGATCTGTACCTGTACAACTTAGTCCGTGAAAATAATTAGGCATAACTGAAAAAGGCAATGTCAAAATATATTCATCATTAAGAATATGCTAGCGCGATATTTGTTCCAAACTAGCCAATTCCCTCACAAAATGTTATCATGATATGTTCTCCACACTATTGCTTTGCACATTAGCACGGGCATATCCCGAAGCCTTGGTTTGTGTTTTTAAAATATAATAAGTAAATGGTCTGGAATTCACGGACTGCAATAATTACTGCATAGATATCTTGAATACTTATCTCTAAAAATCGCTCTGACTGCTCTTTCTTGTCACCTTCTGGCTTTCTAGTACTGATATCACTGCTACAGTAATGTAGGCATGGCTGATTTATAGGAGAATCTTTGTTTACAATATTTGCCTTATTACCATAAGCGATACAGTTAGCTACAAAAAGATTAATACTGAATATTGAAAGAGCACAGCACGATTAACTGTCCCAGGGAATTTGAGCGCGATGTATTGAATACTTTTTGTGCGACGAGGGTTTAAAAGCTCAAAATTTTACAAAGAATGTGTGAGCTCATTAGCGCTTTTGCCACACAGAAATTTTGATATTTCTGAAAACCAATTTCTCGAATATTACACCCAAAAAGCCAAACATTTCACCACTTACTAAGTTTCACAAGCTCTTTAAGTTTTTCTAATAAAATCGTGTCTAGCATGATGCCTTCTATGCGCAAAGTCGTATGTTAATGAGGAAAAATGTAAACAATGACGTCAGCTAAGATTCGCCTATACATAGCCCGCGAGCAGGCTCACCTTTGCGTCACACGTGGGAGCGGCGAAGAACAGAGCGATCCGGCGGGAAGGAGTCTGGTGAAGAGGCCACAAGAAAGTGAGCCTGCCCTGATCTCTGTAATTTTTTCATTTCTGCTTCGTCTAAGCGAAGTGAAATACCATATTGATCGAAAAGCGGGAAAAGCGAAAAAACTGTCAATCTATTATGCTTGATGAGGAGCGATTAAATCCCCATGGAGTCGATAATTTACCGCACAAAAAAAAAAAAGTCGTCCACATTTGGAGTCAGAGGAAGAGCTGAGTGTGCGTATTACTGATGTTTTAGCAAAGTTCCAGTCTATTTCTGGTTAAATTTCCAACCAAAGAGGGAGCAGGAAATAGCAGTTGAAAGTATGTTAATGAATCAAGATGTACTTGTCGTGTTGCCGACTGCATATGAGAAGAGTTTTACAAACATACGTGATCGCAAGCGGGCAACGAAACAACACGAAGGCGTTTGCCCGTTTACCCGCATCGTCAAAGACCAGATTGCCAAAGCAAGATTACTTGGAATCAAGTGTGTGTCCTTAGTAGACATAAACTTTGACAGTTTTTCTTCGCCAAAACTTTATCAACAACGGATATCGCGCCTGCATGTTGTTATGAAAAAGATTTACAATTTTCCCGAGAAATCTGAGCTGCCAAAGTTCATACTTCCGGTGAAAATTAATTGACTTATTCTTTTCTGCGGTTTCCGGGGTGGAAATAAAAAATTTGCAGTGATCAGTGCAGACTCACTTTCTAGTCTCGCGGCTTCGCCGCTCGATTTCGCGCTCGCGGTTACGCCGCGCGCGCTTGTGCTCCAACGTAAGCCTGCTCGCAGGCTAACTTATACAAAGGACTACCTCAGCCTCGGTAGTATTTGTTCCCAAGACTCATTTATAACGTCCATCCTTTGGCCAGTTCTCATCAGTCTACTTTTTATCGTGACACTAAGAAGTTTTAAATCAGTTATCTACCCTTCACAGCAGCTGAATATAAACAGCAAACTTATCTGACTACTTTGGTTCGCTCAACATACCCCTATATGGCTAAACAAGACTGAGACTAAAGTCCTCTTACTCGCTGGATACCTCCTCGTGTATGAACTTCAAAGCGCTCTTGACAGCGGAAGTCATCCCATTATACTCTTCGATCTTGCTGGCGTTAGGCTGAAGGGTCATCTAAAGTCTTAAGCCTTTTACCATAGTAGTTCTTTACACTTTCTTTCACTTTATCTAAGTTTTCGGAGCTCATTTTCTTGTTTAGCAAATTTCAGATCCTTCGCGCGTATAGCGTTTCCAAAGAGATGTTTTGGGGTACCCATAACTGAGGCCTTCTGGGATACCCTAGTCCCCTCCATGGCACACTTGGTGCATCTAAGCTCATCTAAGCGTGAACATACTTGATGATATTATACTGCTTATTGTCAGGAGCATGCTAGTGTAATATTTTCTGGCGTTTTGCTTCCACAAAGTATATCTCGCCCAAATGGCTTTAAACCGTCCTAGAAACACAGGGACGTCAACCAAATAAAGAAATACAAGCATAAGCTAAGCCACTTTTATTTAAATTCTTTTCTGTACGTAGCATTGAGCGCAATTTTCGAAGCAGGAGTATTTCGAGCAGTTTTCGAAGCAGGCATTCTCATACATTGTCTTATAAACGGCTAAAATCGTAACGCAATCGCCAACAGCATGAAGTCACGTATTATACGACGCCTAGGACGCCCATATGCGAGCACTAACTTTTCAAAGAATACCTTGTTATCCCTAAGGTACTCCCGGCAGAACACGTTTGTTTCCATTCCCACTTGTTTTCTTTTCTCTTCTCTTCTCTTCTCTTCTCTTCTCTTCTCTTCTCTTCTCTTCT